CAAACACTTCATAAAAGCACTACAAATAGTCAACAAGCAATTGGAAACCCTAGAAGTTCTTGTTTAGGTCCATTTTGGACTAGGACTTCCTTATTGGGCCCAATGGACCAATAAGCTTCCAATTTGACTATCATGGGCTTAGAACCTTTAAATCGGATCTAATTGGACCCACTTTCATTTGTTTCAACGTTTTGGGCCATATTGGGCCTATAATGAAATAAATTAAATATTATGAACTATTATGGACCATAATTACCCTAATCTAGCCTAATAAAGCATAAAAATCACACTTATATTTTATAGGGCTAAAAATCATCCCAACCTAACTCTAATATGGGCTTAGGGGCATTAAAGCCCAATACTCTCCTTTTTCTTTCAAAATCTCGGCCTAAAGCCCAAATCCAAGGGTGAAGAGTTAACTTGAGAAGTGCCACCTCACTTATACCTCACATGCCTCCATGCATGGACCAACATGCATCTAGAAGTGTCACCTCAACTCCCTCTCTCTTCTTCTCCTTGTTCTCGGCCGAGAGTTCACCCACACACACACTTCAATCACTTTTGTTTATCAAACTCTCTCAAGGAACACCCTCACCTCTCTTCACCAAATTTTCGAGACTTAAGAGCATTCCAAAGAGATTTTCCACAAGAATCATCATCTAAGGTAAGTTTATAAGTAAATCTACGATCTAAGTTCCTTGATTTATCAAACATCTCTTCTTAACTCATAAGAAATCATGATCTTGCACCTTAGAAGCTCCCAAACTCGTGATCTTCCAAGGTAAGGTTGCTTAGGCCGAAAATCATCTCATTTTCTTCCATCTCTTCTCCAAAACCGAAACCACACCCAAAGGTGAGCTTCATACTCCCTACTTTTTGGTTTTACAAGTTTTATGGTGGGGGGGGGATACAAGAAAATGTGTAGATCTATGTGTATATGTATGCTTTGTGTGATTTCTATGTTTATATTTGTGTTTTTATGTGATTGTGATGTTGGATCTAGTCAAAAAGCCCTTAAAACCAAGATTTGCATCAAGTTATATGATATTAGAATAAATTATATTAATACATATAAATCATTTCTAGAAAAATAACCAAGATGGTTAATATGAACTTCTTTGGGCCAAAAACCCATTTTTGGACTCAAAATGTCAAAAATATAAAACATAAGGGCCCAAAATGACAAACTAGCAATTCTAATGGTTGAAATATGCCAAAACAGTTTCAATAAGGTATTTTCTGGAAATATATTCTTTTGAGGGGTTAAAATGCAAAATATTAAGCATAATGGGCCAAAAAATGGATTTTCGGCCCAATAAGGCCCAATATGCGAGATTTTCAAATTTGAAGGGCTGAAAATGTATTTTTCTGTAACACAGGGGACTACTAGTGCTCCAAGTCCATTTCAAGGGTTAAAAACACTTTTCATATTTAAAAATGACCAAAGATGCAAAAAAAAATTATATTTTGGGCCAAAAGTATAAAAGTTGCGAAAAATGAGGATTTAACCGAGAAAACTTCATTTTAAGGGACTAAAGCTGTTTTTAAATAAATATGAGCTGAAAAATACCATTTTTAACAAGTTTTGATATTAAAATGTTAAGAAAAATGGTCTAAGGACTAAATTGGAAATTCTTTTATTTAAAGGGTTAAAAGTGTAAACTCATAAAAGAAAGGGGCTGCAAACAGAAAAACTCCAAAGTTAAACAATAAATCCGTTGAGATAAAACACTGATACCGCCACTACCGACAAAAACCTAATACACCATCAACACCGACTAAACGAATTGATGCGGTCTCGAATCAATAGCGAATCCGAAACTACTAACACGATGATATTCAATACATACGCGGAAATTTTGGGAAGTAAATACATGCGTGGGAATACACAGACGTCGATACACCATCTTTGGGCCCAAAAGTGTCAAATCTTGCTTGTTGGGCCTAGCTAGCCCAATGACCTGATCTTTAGGCCCGAAGACAACTTACTTACATGATTGTTGGCCTTACATGACCTAACTCCATGTAAAAGGACTTTGAATGGCTTCTAGACTATTGGGCCCCAAGGGTCCTTTGGTACAGCTAGTAAAGTCGAGAATTTTCAAAAATGCGGGACAGGCCAAGGGCCCTTCGCATTCACTATAGCCTTGAACGACTTATGGAATTATTGAGGTCTTCGTGCCCTCTTTTCTTCTCGGTTAGGGGGCTACAAGAAGTCAGGGTGGTTGGATTAAGTGAATAGTACGGACGACGTCTAAGGGATCGTTAGTATGGTTGTAAACTAGTCGTTTCTATTAACGTGTGTTTATAACAATTCACAATGCACATTTAATTCAATGTCACATGGAATCATTGACTTCACATGTCGCAACGATACAACACCACACAAAAAGCGTATTTCAGAGAATTAGGAAAACATCGGGTTTTCCTAGGGTTTTTCAATATATACAACTACGAGATGCATACCAAGTACAACCAAATTTTTTTATATATAGAAACAAACAAGCATACTTACGGATCTTCACACTTTTTATACGATACTCTTTTCAGAAAATATCGGATTTTCTGGTGGTTTTCAAAACAATTCAAAACGTTTTATTTCAAACATTACTTATGAACTCACCAACATTTCATATGTTGACGTTTTTCAAAACGCTTGTATTCTTAGGTAACAGGTAAACCAAGGGAAAAATGTAATTAGTGACGACTTGTTGTTTGTTTAACTATTATCGAACAATTTACTTTTGGGGATGTAATGTTTGAAACAATGTACTAAGTGTAAACTCTATTAGTTGTACTATCTCAATGCATGGTAATGATTGATGTTATGTTTCATGTATATTCAATGTAATGGTATTCAATTGAGTCACAACAGCCCTCGGACGTTTCCGCCGTCTGGTTCGGGGGTGTGACACTATTAGGGTTATCAAACAAAGAAACCCTAATTTGACTGCTTAAGCCCTAAGCAACCCATTGACCCCTTCTGGAACATGCCTTGGAGGATTTCTAATGGGCTCCCCGATAGAATTCGTCCAACCTATTATTCTAAGGTGATCCATAGCCCAATTGCAATTATCTTATAATTACAGTTCCAGTCCCCTAAGTTTAATTAATCTCTTTTAGCAACAACTTAATTCTTGACTAATATTAATTAAACAATATGATTTCTCCTTTAATATATTATCCTCATAATATATTAATAAATCATAATTAAACCTTTCTCTCCTTGATTCTTCCTACATATTAATATGGTGAAGGCAACCCAAAAGGACCATGCTCATAATCGAGTCAAGTACATACCAAAATAGTTATGGGCATAGACATTAATCCAACAATATATTGAGTGAACATAGAGTATGATATTCATTTAGAGTACAATCCTTACAATGGATGATGTTTACATGAGAATAAAATTTCTTAGCTAAAAATGCTAGTTGTAACAATCTCATTATATTTCCAAACAAATAGATATTGTAGTTTCCTTTATCTAATTAATGTTCAGTTTATATTACAATTTTAGTAAAGCAAACAAATCTACATTTCAAAGAGTGTGCACTACTAAATGTGAAGGATGTTTGATTTTGTGATGACCAGAAAATTTGGATTCACATGTAGAGTAAGTACTTTTTAAATATATTTTCATTGTCTTATTGCAATTAGCTCTCTGTTTTGTCTACCAATAATTTTAATTTTAATTTTCATATAGACTAGTAACCTTTGGAATGACAACAATGATTTTAAGAAAAATATGTGGGTTTCAATTGTTGCTATGTGGATAGAGTGTTTCTGAATAACTATATCGTTGACATGGTCTTCTAAAAATGCGTGTATTGTGAGCTATTTATATTTCCAACATCCTACTATTTTAGTTTAATGATTGTTTGTTGATATTTTGCTTGCTTTGCATCCACCACCTTGACAACCATTTTCATATCATTTGACATCGCTTTAACATTCCATTATGATTTAATTACATGTAGTAGAAGAGTACCATGTTCTTGAAATTGTTTAAATTGAAGTATCATATAAAGATGGAAATTGTGTTTGTTTTTAGTGACAACAAAGGATAAAGGATACAACTGCTATACTCGATCTTTGGGACAATACATCGACAATAGGATCATGGATTTTTTCCTGTAACTTTTATCCAAGTGTTATGTAGTGAAAATTTCCAAAATAACAATTTTTTTTGGCACGAATATGTTATTTCTTTGATATTTATTTTTATCTATGTCTATTATGGTTGGTTATTTAGCATGTGCAAACTTACAACAATTCTTATTGTACATTGTTTGTGTTTTTTGTTAATTCAGCAAACACAGTACTCGGTGTGGTTGATTATCTTGAAACTAGCTAGTATATATATTTATAGTTTGTACCTCAAAGGATCATGACCATGTACCTGCGACGGAACATGGCTTGATATATGTAAATGAACCTGGTTTTCTAAATATTATAGGTCCCGGTTGTTTATAAAAGAAGTCGTATTTTACAAACCTTATAAGACACCGCTTTTTTTTAATTAGTTATATGATCCGGTTCGTTAACCGGGTTCTATCACAATTTTCATATAAGCCTACAGCCTTGCCTAAATAAAAACCCGGTTCTATAAACCATTTTTGCCGGCCCAACTGAAAATTGGTACAAAATTGAAATAGAAAGATCCCACACATGTGCTCAAAAACCTCCAAACATGTGTTCAAAAACCTGGTTGTTAGAATAAATGTCTCTGTTGGAAGCGTTTGAAAAATTGATGACAGAAGCATCTATGTCATCTTGTTGAATTGCTACCTAACATATGCTAAAAAAGTTAATACCGTACATTGACATGTGAAACTAATAATCATCCTTAAATTACTACAACCGAACATCTTCTACCACTATCTTTTACTAGATAATTACATTTACCAATCATGGTAAATTAATTTAAACTTTTGTTTTTTGATTACATGAAGACCAGACATTTTATCTTACCCCATTTAACTTTAAAACCGCTACCTGATCATGTCTATAAATAGTCATTCTCTTAATGCATGGGACTATATGTACAATTTATTACTTTCCACAACTTTCATCTTTTCCTTTGAAAATACATTCAGATCAGAAATGGTATACTCTTTCACCATCTGTATTTGAGAAGGCTGGGTTTATGGTTAACCTGGTGTACTTCATCTGTTGATTGCTAAGATTTCTCCACTTTTTAGTTATATTTTATTTCGGCCCTATATGCTGCAGGCAGGCAATGGCGTACAGGTTGGACCGTGGGGAGGTAAGGGTGGAGTTAATCCCTGGACATTCATCCCTGATGGCAGAATTTGCGAGATCCGTATCAGTGCCTCAGGCTGTGTAGATTCAATCAGGTTCACTTACAAGGATCGTGATAATGTCAAACACCATTCTGAAACATATGGTGGTGATGGTGGTTCACCTCATACGGTATATATAGTGAGCTTTCATTACATCTGTTACCTAAACATGTACTGCACTTGTATTCTAGTTTTATCATACATCATTTATCATCTATTCGGGTTTATCTTCAGTTTACATTTGCTGATGATGAGAATCTCATCGGGATTACCGGAACTGTGGGAGTATATGCCGGCTACACTGTGATTACGTCATTGTCTTTCCTAACCAACAAAAAGAAGTATGGGCCATATGGCACAACCCAGGGGACTAGTTTCTCGCTTCCAGTCGCTAAGGGTAGCTTTGGTGGATTCAGCGGAAACTACGGGGATTACCTCGACTCTTTCAGTGTCATTCTTCATCCCTATTAGTATTTGCAGCCTGCATACATGGTGTTCGACGTGGTAACCTTGTCAAAATAAAGAAGCCTGAGAGATGTGTTTGTGAAATTGTTGTGTTATCCTGTTTTGATGTTCAACTCGTATAATTGCTTTGTGTTTTAAGATCGTATCTTGTTTCCTAAATATAATTACAATAAGCACCCTTGTGCACTAGGTGTCTTGATCATGTACTCTCAAACACTTCTAATGGGATATTTTCAGTTTGGCTGTTTGCTAATTTGGTTTTTGTTTTTTTTTTCGGTGCATGGTTGATCACTCTACAATCTTGTACACATGATGAGCATTTGTTTCGGGAAGAACGGTATATATTTTGACTCGCCGTATTTCTTCTTATATATGTAAGAAAATTAAATAATAGGAAACATCTTCATAGTCCGAACAAGGCTTCAGATGATCAGGACATCAAAACCCATGTTTTCTTTCATCAACCAATAAGTATATATAGGTGTTCTTTCACAATACTAGATAATTGATTATACGGTAAATAATGATAAATTTTGCTATAATTAAACAAAGTTAAAAACAAGTCGTATGGAATTGTATATTGACTCTATTTTTCTTTGTTTTAAAGTTATCCAGATGAACTGGTTATGGAAATTGAGCATTTATCACTCTATAATCTGGTACATAATGAGCTTTTGTTTGGCGAAGAAAAATTCTTCTAATACATTTAAAGTCATGCATATTTTTTTGTAAAGATGAAGAAAATTAAATGGTGATAATGGCACTACTACAAAAAAGCTCATAACACTATGTTAAATCAATTAAATAACTTGATTTTAAACTGGGAGTTAAAGCCAGCGAATCCTATGTGAAAAACGAAATAGAATCCAGTTTTAAAACCGGCTCCTATCTGCAACAAAACAACCCGGTTGTTTGTAAAACCGGTATATATATAAGGCGAAAATAACGAATCGCATAAATCTTTCCATAAGAAATGGATCTACACCAAAGTTCTTTATTATAAATATATGTCATGTACATAGACCTACAATATATGATCCCTCCTAGATTAACGGCTATACATCTAGGTGTCAATTCCAGGATTTGATCCTTACGAAGAAAAAACACACCATCATAAAACTCTATCTTTCACCCATTTCGATACATTCATCTCACAAGCACACACGGGATACACAATCCACAAAATCCATGATGACAATTCTTCAACTCTTAAAATCCGTCGTTCCCTAGGGTCACTAACACAAATATTAGATTATTAAGATTCTCGAAGCTAAGTGAAATGAGTTAAATAGTGAAATTAACGTAGAGTTCGACTATTGCGGCGATAATAAGTTGAGTAGTTCCTTACTTCAGCTGATAAGGAAGATGTTCGTTTGCGTAGCCGAATACTCAATTATATCAATGTTTGATAAGTTGCATAATTTATAAGATATATAATTTATTAGGTAATAATCCCCAAAAATCCGAGAATTAATTATATTATCGTATGTGACGAGTTTCGTATCACAACTAAAATAATTTATATTTTTATAATAATTATAAAAATATATTATATCGTTTACTTACTAATCGTTTCCATATTATGACCGAGAGTATAATCATAATAATCAATTTTTTGTATATTTTCAATTAATTATTATATATATATTTGTCAAATCTTCGTTTATAGCCGTTTAAGACAATGCACATTTCCTTTGTGCACAACAATATTGAATAACATATTTTGTTATGATTATAATGTGCACAACTATATTCAATAACATATTTTGTGCACAACTATATTGAATAACATATTTTATTATGATTATAATGTACAAATCCACATTATGACATCGTTTATAGCCATTTATAGCCGAGGTGTGCATCGTAAACTAGTAATCGGAGTCATTGAACAAACATTGAACAATACAAATATAATGTTTTATTATTACCTAAAATAAATTACATTGACAAGACTATTGTTGCAATACTACACATGCCTAACGATCTCGCGTTCACAATTACATGATAAGAATATCGGAGGATCTTCTGTACAAACTCTTCTGACCTTATAAATAACTTGAAAATACATGCATTAAGATACGTCAACAAAATTGTTGGTGAGTTCTACAGGTTTTGACACAAAATGTATTTATACTCAAAGATGTTCTATAAAATTTATCTGTTGAGCAGCTTTTATAAACACATATTTTTCTATCAAAAGTATAAAAAAAAAATTGAGTCATAAAAGTATATTTAAACTCATTTAAAAATGCCATTTGCTCAAATCCAAAAATACACCGTTTGTAAAATATACAAGTAAAACAAACTTATAACAACTTCTTGCGGTTCTTATGACCAAAATGTTTTTTATATAAAGATTTTGAATACCAAATTATAAAGTCAAATTATACTTTGTGAAAACATGAAATAGTCAAGTTTACTCTTAAAACTATGTACAGACATCCGTATAGTTTATACGTAAATCTCAAAAGTTACAAATTTTATAAACTTTGTAAATCTATGTCGTGTTATTAATTAAGTATTATCTTACTTAATTTGTAAATCGACACTTAACCAGTGGAGCAAACTCATCCAAATATACTTTTTAATACCCAGTAAATTATAAACGCATATTTTTACCACTTGTATAATTTACAAGACAAATATTAACCTATCTCTTTACAATTCTATTCTTTGAAAAGCATATGCTTACGGAGAATTATGTCGTGGGGAGAGGTGGTTAACAGTCTAAACACTCTTACACACTCGACCCAAATTGGGAGGATTGACTCAATCTAGACCTATACTTCATCGAATAAAAATCTTCAATATATCAATTTGCCTATAACCGACACTATTTGTCGCTCCTCCACAAGTCACATAGGCACAATAAACAGCCACATAGGCACAATATAAATAAAAATGGAGGAATCGAGATCATTAAACAGTCGTATATTAATGAAGAAAGAAACATTGACACCTGTTGCCTCGTCAGAAGAAGTTGTAGCTAGCAACTACAAACGGAAAATAACGATTCGCCATAAATCTTTCCATAAGAAATTGATCTACACCAAAGTTCTTTATTATAAATCTATGCCATGTACATAGACCTAAAGTATATGATTCCTCCTGGATTAACGATTATAGAGCTAGATGTCAATTCCAGCATTTCATCCTTACGAAGGAAAAATACAACATCATAAAACTCTCTCTTTCACCCATTTCGATACATTCCTCTCACAAGCACACACGGGATACACAATCTACAAAATCCATGGCGACAATTCTTCAACTCAAAAAATGCATCGTTCACTAGGGTCACTAACGCGAATATTAGATTATTCACATTCTCGAAGCTTAGTAAAATTAGTTAAATAGTGAAATTACCGTAGTGTTCGACTATTGTGGTGATAATAAGTTATGTAGTTCGTTACTTCAGCTGATAAGGAGGATGTTCATTCGCGTAGCCGAATACTAACTTATGTCGATGTTCGATAAGTTGCATAATTTATAAGATATATAATTTATTAGGTAATAATCCCCAAAAATCCGAGAATTAATTATATTATCATATGTGACAAGTTTCGTATCACAGCTAAAATAAATTATATTTTTATGATAATTACAAAAATATATTATATCGTTTACTTACTAATCGTTTCAACGTTATGATCAGGAGTATAATCATAATAATTGAATTTTTGGTATATTTCAATTAATTATTATTATTATTATTATTATTATTATTATTATTATTTATATATATATATATATATATATATATATATATATATATATTTGTCAAATCTTCGTTTATAGCCGTTTAAGAGAATGTACATTTCCTTTGTGCACACCTATATTGAATAACATATTTTGTTATGATTATAATGTCTTTTTATGCTTTCTCATTATTTTTGTGCGCATAAATACGACAAATTTTACAGTTTAGGATTCTTCAATTAACTTATATTGTTATATCAATGTGCTTATAATCCTATGATTTTTATTAATATTAACTAATATATCACAACAATGTATAATTTTATCATTTATAGCATTCTACTATAACTTATATAATTTATTAATGCTTTATACCTTTTAGATTGTTATTTTCATAAACTCTTAACCAATAATAAAGTATGATGCCAATTACATGTATAAGATTTGAAAATCATCAAAACTTTAAATAGACACTCATGCATTCTCCCCCACAATTAAAATTGTAAAAGAGGGGTCGTAGAAACTCACATTCGATGCGTGATCTCGATCTAGACTGGTTCTTGAAGTTTGTCGACGAGTTGAGGTCAACATGGACTGTTGACCTTGAGTTTGACCATGGTTGACTTTGAGGGTATTTATGGTATTTCAGAATTGTGACAGGTTAATCACATGATGAATATAGACAAATGAGTTGGAGCAGTGCGTTGGATATATCCGATCTTAGCTTGTCAGTTCAGCATTCGAGAGGTGAGTCTTCCCACCGTACCAGTGGGTCTAAGGTACCAACGTCAGCCCATTTTATGATATGTGGATTGTTGATTGATTATGCGTTATGTTAGTATGACATTTGCATGGAAGAACCAGGGGTTCCCATGGCAGTAGACTAAGACCACGTGGGGGTTCCCATGACATTTGGTATAAGACCTTGGAGGGTTTCCATGGCATCCTAATATATTTGCATGTTTAGTTTGTATGATATTTGATTCGTAGTGAAGACCATGTGGGGGTTCCCATGGCAACAAGACCATGTGGGGGTTCCCATGACAGGTAGTTAAGACCACGTGGGGGTTCTAGTGTCACTAGGTGTAAGACCCACGGGGGTTTCTATGGCTTCTGTATATGTTGTATGCATGGATTATGTGATATATGTAGCTTTTATATCTAATATGATATGTGTTATGTGGATTGTGTGTGGGGTATGCATTGGGGAACTCATTAAGCATTAGCTTATAGTTTGTGGATTTGTTTCAGCTACATCCGAGCCTAAGGACAAGGGCACAACTTGATGGCGCGGCGTGCACTCTCTTTCAAGCATTTTTATGGGACACTTTGATGATTTTGAATAAAATTGTATTTGATATGAATTTTGAAAACAATTGTATTATGGATTTCATGGTTTGTGGAAAGTATTTTGGTTCATCAAAAATGAAAATTTTCTTCTGAAAATTGGGTCGTTACAAATCCAACGTAATTAGCGTAAACTATGGGTTTGATACCAACTTGTAACATCCATAATTTTAAATCA